CATAGCCACACCATGCATTTCGGTGTGGAGTGGTAAGGAAAACTGGAATACCTTTTATCTGCCATAGCTCCTTTCTCCGAGCCGTTCGCACTTGTGCGGCTGCACGTGTGGTAACTGTGGTTGCAGGCATCCTATTGCGCATGTGCGAACAGCTAGGGGAAAGGAGTTCACGCATCACTAGTGCCAGCCCCACCAACAAGGTCGGCTCCTCCTGTCACGTTCCAGAAGAAGATGACTTAACTGTATTTGAATAAATGTAGATTGTTGTATTATACTTAATAAAAATAAGACATCCCCCGAAAATAAGCCCTAGTGTGTCTTGAGAAAAAATAAATATAAGACAGTGTCTTATTTTCAGGGAAATGTGGTATCAGACAGCACAAATAAGGAGTAACACAGGCCACAAGTTACTATTGGAGATTAGGGCAAAGGGAAGCACAACCACTGGTACTAAGAAACAAACCTGGAAAAGGTTTCAAGTGGCTACAAAATGAAATGAAGGAGGCAGAATTGCTAAATCTCCTTTCCAAATACCTGACAAAACAAAAGTCAGAAAGGATAAGGGATTACTCTATAGCTGTAAAACCTGCTATTAACTTCAAAAGAGTTCTTACTGTCAACACAGAGCAAAGATTAACCCTTTCATAGAGCAACAGGTCTGCATTGTTCTTCTCTACAATTTTAGTGCTCATCACCTCAGAAAGTAGTTAGATTACATAGGTACTACTGAAGATAAGTTTCTTCTTTTTACCAATCCAAGGCTACTAAAAATGGGCTAAGCAAGGTGGCTCATGCCTGTAATCCCATCACTCTGGGAGGCAGAAGTGGGTAGACTGCTTGAGCTCAGCAGTTTGAGACGAGCCTGAGCAAGAGTGATACCCCCATCTCTAAAAACTAGCTGGGCACTGTGGCAGGCACCTGTAGTCCCAGCTACTTGGGAGGCTGAGGCAAGAGAATTGGTTAAGCCCAAAGAGTTAGAGGTTGCTGTGAGCTGTGACTCTACCAAGGGTGACATAGTGAAACTCTGTCTCAAAAAAAAAAAAATTTCTTATGACCTCTAATCATTTCCTCTGAATTACAACCTAAATTTTAGGACCTAAAATTATGAATGCCATGGAAATTTGAAGGGTCTCCTAGAACTACCCCTGAATAAAGCTGATCAGGAATATATATATACAGTTCTTACCTTCAAACAGAAGATGAAGAAGTCTCCTGCCAAACCACACTCCTGGCAGTGCGACAGCAAGTCCCCAAGATGTTCTACCTGGCCCTGCTCTGAGGACACTTTCTGGTATAGGGCTTCATCTTCATCACTGCAAGTCAGGGTAAGATTTATCTTGATAAATTAATATGTCATTTCCATATAGTTAGTTAATTATTAGAAAAATCTCAAATACCTATTTAATTTATTTTCCTATTTCTTTATGCTGAAAAAGGATTTATTTTGGGCAACTAGACTATTATGTCTTACGTAGTCAGTTGCTCAAATAGGGAAAGCTCCATGAAGAAAGTGGCTTTTAAGAAGGACGTTAGCCAGAAACAGTGGTGCATGCCTATAGTCCTAGCTATTCGGGAGGCTGGGATAGGATGTCTTGAGGCCAGGAGTTCAAGGTAATAGTTTACTATGATTGTGCCTATGAATAGTCATTGTCTCCAGCCTGGGCAAGGAAGCAAGACCCTGTCTCTCTTAAAAAAAAAAAAAAAAAAAAAACAGAAACAGAAAAAACCCCAAACAAACAAAAACATGGTTGTTGAAGAATTACTATTATTTAATAAGTTACAAAAGAAAGGAGAAATTAAGTATAAGTTATATACAGAAATTCTGGTTCCTGAGGAAGAACGGAGAAAAAGAAGGCTGCAAAATGAGGCCAGATCATGGAGGACATTGGATGTCATTCAAAAGAACGTCGACTGTTGAGCCCCAGAAAGGTTATGTGCAATGGAAAAAGATGTGCTTATCATGGGATGAGATGAAGTCAATTTCAACTAATATGAATCAATTAGTTGAGATAAGAAAATACATAAAGGTTCAGAAAAATGAGTAGGTCAAATGCGATTATCAAGTAACAAAATCTGGCTGAAACAGTGCTATGATTACAGCAAAAAACTTCAAGAAATTTCTTGTGATGTGGTGTGTTTTTTAGAATTACTGGGTCTGGTAAATGAAGAGACCAAGATGCAATATTATTATACTATATCAGGTAAACAAATATAAAGGCATAGAAGATGTACCAAAAAGCAAGACACTAAAAAATACAAACAGTAAAGAGGATAGTGATTGAGTTTTATTTTCCTCGTTATGTGTTTTTCAACTACTCAAAGAACATATGTTACTGTTGCGATCAGATACATAAATTTTTTCCAGATTAAATGGAAAAACAAACGACAGATGTTACTTCATCTCACTGAAAAGTAAAATTATTAAAGTTAATTTGGCAGACCATCTCCTTGGGCAGAATATCCCAATTTGTCAGTTCACTAATAATATGGCCTTCACATTCCTCTAACAGAATGAATAACCTACACATTTAGCTTAGCATTATTTCCTATATTATCCCCCAAATCTTTCAGAGTCCTTTGGATCAATCATGTTTTAATTTCCTATATTATCCCAAAATCTTTCAGAGTCCTTTGGATCAATCATGTTTTTTCCACTATACTGTATGTTAAAAGAAAAGCTGGGGGTTTGGCACTTGTAGCTCAAGTGGCCAGGACACCAGCCACATACGCCGGAGCTGGTAGGTTCAAATCCAGCCTGGGCCCACCAAACAACAATGACAACTACAACTTAAAAATAGCTAGGCCTAGCACGGCGCCTGTGGCTTAAAGGAGTAGGGCACTGGCCCCATATGCCAGAGGTGGCAGGTTCAAACCCAGCCTTGGCCAAAAACTGCAAAAACTGCAAAAAAAAAAAAAATAGCTAGGCTTTGTGGTGGATGCCTGTAGTCCCAGCTACTTGGGAGGCTGAGGCAAGAAAACTGCTTAAGCCCAAGAGTTGAGGTTGCTGTGATTTGTGACGCCACAGTACTCCATCCAGCGCGACAGCTTGAGACTTTGTCTCAAGAAAAATAAAGAAAGAAAAGCTGGAATGCATAAACAATACTTCTAAGCTTCTGTGATTATCAAAATGAAATACTGTATTTAAATACCCTTAAAAAGACATGAAAACGATTATCTTAAGAAGCCCTCTTTTATTCACTCTTAAAATTTCAATGATAAAGAATTAATTCTGAATAGTTACATTTAGTTCCAAAAAAGTAAAACTCTGGACTCAAAGATCCTGAAATTTAAGCTGTTCCTATACAGGTCCTTCAATCAAACTTTTTTTTTTTTTTTTTTGAGACAGAGCCTCAAGCTGTCCCCCTGGGCAGAGTGCCGTGGCATTACAGCTCACAGCAACCTCCAACTCCTGGGCTCAAGCGAGTCTCCTGCCTCCGCCTCCCAAGTAGCTGGGACCACAGGCGCCCGCCACAACGCCCGGCCATTTTTTGGTTGCAGCCGTCATTGTTGTTTGGCGGGTCCGGGCTGGGGATTCGAACCCGCCACCCTAGGTGTACGTGGCTGGCGCCTTAGCCGGTTGAGCTATAGGCGCCGAGCCCAATCAAACTTTTAATGGATAACTGGTGCTGCGCAAAATGATAGAAAGAAAGGTAAAGTGGTGATACAGACCTTAACCCTGGCCTTGGGGAAAAGCAGACCTTTAAGAACAAATGGCAAATAGCAAAACCACACACATACACACACACACAGAAAAACACTTTCTCTCTCTCTCTCTCTCTCTCCCCTCCGGTGTAGTGGTTGCCAAGTTTTTGGAAACAAATTATGTACCCTGTTTTCAGAAAAATATCCATGTGGACATGAAAAAAATTTGTGTATATAATTTTGAGAAGATTTTAAACCCTTAGAAGTGCCTGTGGAGACTTCAGTTGAAAGATCTATGACTTCTGGCAATAGATGGAGATTCATTCAATCACTGCCTATTCATTTCTTTTCCTTCCATGAAGAAAAACTTTAGTTTCAGTAAGAAGTGTGGATTTTGATATATTGCACTAAGAAGTGCACCAGAGACTTATTATGATAGCAGTAAGTTATAACTACTTAAGTTATAACTGCTAAGTTGATACTGTAAAATTATATAGTCACTAAATTGGTCCCAGGTTAAAACCACTCTAAAGTGGGTTTTTTTTTTGAGACAGGGTCTTGCTCTGATAATTCTGTTTGCAGCTATGTGTTCTTCTATGTTCCTCAAGTCCATCATATTGATTGGGTGTTTAAAAGCATTACCAAAGCTAACCATGAATATAAAATTAAATTTAAACACTTCAGCAAACAGCAGCACTTTGAATGTGATGTGAACTCCAAATAGAGCAGCTGCCACCAGTACTTTATGGGCTATGATCAACAGGAATGTATGTTCTCAGGTGATAACATCCTATACAGATCACCCAGAAAGTGGAAATAATTTAAAGTATACACTTGTGAGATGTGAGATGTTGGTAACAGAAATTATCCACATCACTAACAATAAGCACTTTCTTTTTTTGAGACAGAGCCTCAAGATGTCCCCCTGGGTAGAGTGCCGTGGCATCACAGCTCACAGCAACCTCCTGGGCTCAAGCGAGTCTCCTGCCTCAGCCTCCGAAGTAGCTGGGACCACAGGTGCTCACCACAGCGCCTGGCTATTTTTTCTTTTTTTTGAGACAGAGCCTCAAGCTGTCCCCCGGGGTAGAGTACCATGGCATTACAGCTCACAGCAACCTCCAACTCCTGGGCTCAAGCGAGTCTCCTGCCTCCGCCTCCCAAGTAGCTGGGGCCACAGGTGCCCGCCACAATGCCTGGCTATTAACAATAAGCACTTTCTAATCAATCCCTATTAGAAACAAAAACCCTGATCACAAAATATAGCAGATGATTTCCTTTGGGAATAAGTCTGACCATGAATACACATACATACCATTTTGAGAGTCAGAAGGAAAATGGATTATTTTGGTATTAAGGGTGAACATAGGTCTGCCCTTTACTTTGATTCCCTGGTAAAGACCTGTTGTGATATAGGACTGTGAGGCTCCACTCAATTGTACCTACTATTAGCTGGCATCTTGGGAAAAAACCTGGTGGATTATTTAAGGCTCACACTTCATTTAGAGATTATAAATAGCCAAGTGCCTGAGCTGCTTAAATTCCTGGTTTCTTTTCTATCAGCGCCCCTTAGTGGCTGAGTCACAGAACGGCCTTTTGGGTGGAACTAAATTAAAGAGACATGGTATTGGATGGGTGGACTCACCTTATGGGCTCTTTGATGGTAATCATAATGCCACCGTGAGTGGCAGCTCTAAACTGACATAGGGAATGGAGAGAGGGCACAGCTTTGTCCAACCCTGCAAATCCTTTCAGGCTAGCAATCGCCTTCTTCCTTTCCAGCTTTCCCAGAATCCATAATAAGATCTCCTGGCAAAGTGACCTGGCAGAAAAAGCAGTTATGAATGAGCTTGTCATCTCTCTCTATGTATTTAACAAGCTAACATAAAAAAAGAGACTGTCGGGTTCCACTGCATTCTAAATGCTGGCACAATCCCCTACTACTAAGACGCAAGAGTGGAAAGTATGCTTCTTGTGAATTTCAGAATGCAAATATCCTGAAATTCAATGAGTGACTGACTAATCCCTGGCTCTGAAGCAACCCTGATATGCCACATGGGCCCCACGTGATTTGTTTTTTTTAATTCCAAGTGTACTATAAAGCCCTGTGAAAGAAGGTTGGGTCCATGGATACCAAACGTCTAGTGGAACCAGTAGCTAGTGACCAAAAAACTGGATACCAACAAAATGCTGCTGATTCCTCATCCCCCATTATATGTGCCCATCAACTAGGAGAGGAACAGAATCAGTATTCACATCTTTGTCAGTCTCTCCTGAGGACATGGCAGGGCTGTAAGTACTTGGGTTTTAAAACTAAAACAAGAGTTATTACATGGGCTGTCTTTTGTATCCAAATTCACATATGCTCAGACTTCATCCCCCATTGCATTCTCTCCTGTTATTGCCATTGTGGCTGTGATTTACATGATGTGCTGCCTGAAAGGTCAAGAGCCAAAGGCAGTACATGAGCTTTGAATAACACGCAAGACTGAGCATTTTCCTTCACCACTTAGGAATGATCGCGACCATTTACCAAGCTTCCTATTTGTCAGGGACTGCACTAACACTTTAAGTCTTTGCAATAGCCCTGTGAAAAAGGTACTAGGATTAGATATCAGATTCCACATGGGGATTTCCAAATACTCAAAATCAGAATTCATAGGATTTTAGATAGGATATAACCTCTTACCAGGAAGAAGAAGCAACATAAATTACTGTGAAAATAGAGCGAATACAAAATGAGTCTTACTTAAATTCTACTACAAAAGAGTATTTTCTGAATGACTAAGAAATCTCTTCTTTCTAAACAACACCATTCATCACCAAATCTAAGGCTAAATTACAATATGCTACATTCAGATGCAGATTTCTTGAAGTTGTTTTATAACTCCTCACAAGATCATTCTTATCTATCCCCTATTTCCTCTTTTCTAGACATGTAATTGCAGTATTTCTCACTGATCAAATAGTGGTATGCTTACACATGTAAACTGAGATTTCTTCTCTGATGTCTAGAACAGAGGCTGCAGAAAATCATTCCAAAAACTATATCCGATCCCCTGCTATCTACAAATTTCTGTTTCTTTTCAAGATGAACAGAATAAGAGAATCCCAAGAAAGATTAAAAAAAAAACAAAAAAAGAATGAGAGAATCCCAGTGTTTTCCTGACTTTGAGAGGAAATAATTTTAAAGTAGCATCAGTCTTATATTCAAAATAAGAACAAAAACATGCAAAATAGACTTCACAATTTACAAATAAATAAGATTCTGTTTATAAATAAATAAGGTTCTTTTGATGGTTTACCTTAAGTGAGATACACTCTGCTTGGTAAAACAGTAGAGAAGAAAGAGCACTCCCAGTACTGGAAGCAGGGAATCTAGCAAAACCGTCAAAGGTTCATTCCCGACCACATACACCTAGGGGAAAGGAAATGGGGAGAAATTCCATGACTAAAAGGCCAGAGCAATGGGAATCAAACCCTGGACGCTTAGCAGGGATGCATTTTATCTTAAGCAATACCCACCTCCTAAGACACACACTTTTAGCTCTAAGGATGTGCTCAGATATGGCAATGAAATCATTTGAGTTTTGCAGTTGGGCTAAAACAGAGACAGGCTGTGCTACAGCCTAAAGAACTGCCCAATTTCAGCTATCTCTGAGTCCTCTGATTTGCCTATTATTCAGCTATACAGTAATTGCCTTACTACTAAAGGGCCGTGTTATTGGGAACTAAGCAATCATTACTACCAAATAGAAAACCTTAAAATTAGAGTTGAAACAAAACAAAACCCAAAACATAGCTTGCTGTAGATCTGTCACTCTTAAGACGTGACTGCTACATGGGCATGTCCTATTCTCTCCAACTCAAAAGATCTTCAAAGAAATTACACTGTGCACCTAGATCTGTACTGTCTTTACAAGGTTAATGTGTGAGGATGCTGACTTTTATTAACAATAACTATGTTACATATTTTATTTGTACCTTTTAATAGGGCTTGCATAAATACATTAAACCCAAAAAACTGTTACTGAACACCCACTGGATTAAAAGCACTGTTCTATGCACTGCAGTGAATATAAAAATGAATAAGGATCATTATCCCTTACAGTGCTTCTGATATACAGGGAGATTAAAACAAGTAAACCTATTACAGAATTTTTTTTTTTTTTTACAGAGTCTTGCACTGTTACTCTGGGTAGAAAGCCATGGCCTTATCATAGCTCACAGCAACCTCCAACTCTTGGGCTCAAGAGATCCTCTTGCCTCAGTTTTTCTATTTTTAGTAGAGATGAGGTCTCACTCTTGCTTAGTCTGGTCTCAAATTCTGAGCTCCAGCAATACACCTGCCTTAGCCTCCTAGAGGCTAGGATTACAGGTGTGAGCTACCACACCAGGCCCAAGTAAACCTTTTATAATAATAAAAGTAATAATTTAAAGCAGATAAAGTTTCTTAAGAAATGCAAAATGGGCTCAGTGCCTGTGGCTCAAGTGGCTAAGGCACCAGCCAAATATACCTAAGCTGGCAGGTTTGAATCCAGCCTGGGCCTGACAAACAACAATGATGGCTGCAACCAAAAAATAGCCAGGCGTTGTGGTGGGCGCCTGTAGTCCCAGCTACTTGGGAGGCAAAGGCAGGAGACTCGCTTGAGCCCAGGAGTTGGAGGTTGCTGTGAGCTGTGATGCTACAGCACTCCACCCAGGGCAACAGCTTGAGGCTCTGTCTAAAAAAAAGAAATGCAAAATGTTTCTTAAAAACTCCAAATGAGGCTCAGCACCATAGCACAATGGTCATAGTGCCAGCCACATACACCAAGGCTGGCATGTTCGAATGCAGCCTGGGCTAGCTAAACAATAATAACAACTGCAATAAAAAATAGCCCGGCGTTGTGGTAGATGCCTATAATCTCAGCTACTTTGGAGGCTGAGGCAAGAGAATTGCTTATGCCCAAGAGTCAGAGGTTGCTGTGAGCTGTGACACCATAGCACTCCACTGAGGGTGACATAACGAGACAAGGGCTGCCAGCTGTGACGCCATAGCACTCTACTGAGGGTGACATAACGAGACTCTGTCTCAAAAAAACCCCCCAAAACTCCAAATGACAAGATTTCAAAATGTAATTCTATTGTAATGAACTAATTAAAATCTGATAGTGTGGACAGTGATAACGATAAAAGGAAAAAGAAGAGGAGCTGACAGTGGCTCTTAGTATGTGTTTGAAGAACTGTGCTAGGATTTTATATTCTAGGTACTATGCTAGATTCTGTTTTTTTTTTTTGGAGACAGAGTGTTACCTTGTCACCCTTGGTAAGGGCTGTAGCATCATAGCTCACAGCAACCTCAAACTCTTGGGCTCACCTGATCCTCTTGCCTCAGCCTCCCAAGTAGCTGGGATCATAGGTGCCCACCACAATGCCCTGCTACTTTTAGAGATAGAGTCTCACTCTTCCTTAGGCTGGTCTTGAACTCCTGAGCTCAAGTGATCCACCTGCCTCCGCCTTTCAGAGTGCTAAGATTAACAGGCATGAGCTGCTGCCCCTGGCCTTAGCAACCCTGTTTTTAAAGGTAGGAAAGAGAAGTTTAAAGAGGCTCTTATTTATTAAAAAAAAAAGATTATGGAGGTAGAAATCAATGCTGTTTATGGGAAACGAAAGGTTACAGTGGCACTTTTACAAGCTGGAAAAATCTCTGTGCTTTTCCAGAGAACCTTGTCCCTTACATCAACTCTAATTTTTCACACCCCGTAAGCCTCCCAACTCCTCTCTGGAGCCTGATAACCAGGGAGCCAGCTTCCTGTGCATGATCTAATCTCCATAAGCTCAGCTAAATGAGGTGCCTTGTACGGCAGTGTTCAGAAGTAATATGCAGACCTAATTATGAAATCGCCAATTACAGGAGGAAAAAGAATGGATTCCCTCAGATAACGTAAGGGCCTATTCTTTGCTTCTAGATCCTGTGTTCTCAGAGGTAATCCCTGTGGAGCCATCCTTCCTTACTGCCATCTTTTGTAAAACAAAACAAAACAAAACAAAACAAAACAAAACAAAAATACCTTCAAATATAAAAAACACAAAAACCAGATAGAGGTAATTCTCCATTATGAACTGGCTGGGTAGGGCCAAAGCACTTCAAACTTCAACGAGGACTCAACAGGACACATGCCTCAGGGATATTCATTGCTGTTGAAAAATTCCCCCAATTTTTTTTTTCATCTTCCTTATACTTTTCTATATTTTCTTACAAGGAACAAGTACTACTTGTCTATTTAGAAAAACTATAAAGCTATTTATATAGACATACTATTTATTTTTAATATAAAGGTTCTGCAGGCTCGGCACCTGTGGCTCAAGCGGCTAAGGCGCCAGCCACATACACCTAAGGTGGCAGGTTCAAATCCAGCCCGGACCCGCCAAACAACAATAATGGCTGCAACCAAAAAATAGCC